CCCTATGTTGTTTACCACTGGTGCAGCTATCAGACGAAACGTGTTGCTTAGCACTTGCAAACCTTTATAACGTACAGGCAAAAACACTTTGTATTCCCCAAACAATGAATATAAAGGTAGTCTGCATCACAATAGGTGCCGATCTAAGGAAGCTCTAATGTTACTTACCAAAAGGTATGCTTCTAGTGCTAGGGGAATTGGAAGGTGTGTGTCTACTGGTAGGAGAATTCCTGATGACATTTTGCCCCTCATTATATCCTGCTCTCTGAGCAGGCTTATTTTTTTTTCTTCTGCCTTTCCCAAGTTCTGCCTCGCCGTCCAAGTTGGATCCATTTTCTACCCTTGGCAGATTTGCCCGTGCTTCGGCATATGTATCTGCAGAAAGAAGGGCAACAACTACTAATTAAATGATAAGCATGATCATTTCTCAGATCTGTCACACATAACAAGTAGAACTCCAATTCCTTTGCATAAGTCATTACCAAGCAGGTACTAAGAGCCACCAATGATATTAAAATGGATCATTTAAATTTTGCTGCAATGACAGCTGACATGCAAGTATTCACAAAATATGAGATACTTGATTTCGCATAATTGTTCTTTTTTTCCTGATATTCTCGAAGCTATCTTCTGATATTCTTCGAAGCCATCTTCTGATATCTTTTCCTGATATTCTCGAACCCATCTAAACTTTTAAGAAGTTACTTTGATCTAAAGTGGCAATTAGAGTTACAATGCTGAAATTGCAGTTTATTACATACCTTTTACTTCATTGCTGACCAAATCGCTGAAAAACGTGCAGTAAAACAGCATAAATAAGGAATAATTTACCAAATTCTCGGACAACAGTGCAAGGCACTTCTATCCAGTCAGCCCCTGGAGTCGCTTTCGCCTTCAACAAACTATGTACATATTTAGTTTGTCGAGGCCACAGGCAGCCGTCGCCTTTCAGCCAACTTTTGAGGATGATCCCAGATGTATCATCCTCTTCTGGGAAGAGAACGACAACGTATTGACCTTGCAAAAGAAAGAGAAGCCAAATTCAAATTCTGTATACATTCTGACACAGTTGTGAAAGTTTATTACATGTGCACTGTAGCATGCAAAAGAGGGAAAACAATGCTTTTCCTTTTCAAATACACTTTCAGGCATTTCTGTGAGATGTTCTTCAGAGGCCAATACCGCAGACTAGAAGGCTGAGACACTGAGTAAATTCCCAGTATGGAGGAAGGGCATGGCAGAGAATAAAAATCTTCACACTTGAGGAACTTCCTTCCAATTATGCATGGCTCACCGCACGGGAGACGAGCAAAATTGTCAATAACGACGATTGACCCATCACTTAGCCTACAGCACCCATTTCTCTTTTCAGCTCTAAGAATGACATTGCCAGGCAATGTTACTTTTTTAAACTCGGGGCCTCGGCATGGAGCAACAAGTGGCCCGTCAGCATGCTCTGCAGCAAATACGACATGGCTTTCAGTTTTCTTATGCCTCAGAGGACGGTGTGCCTGCTCAGCAAGCCTGTTGCAAAGTTGCTCCAAGGGAAGGTCTGGCTTTCTCAGCATTCTCTTTAACGAGGACATATGGTTTTCAAATGGGAAGGCACTCCATGAGTCCAAGGGGCCAAGGTGTGTAACATCATCTGCCAAATGACACAGGCCATGCACATTGTGTGAAACATGCTCTTTGCCATAAATGCTTATGAATGTCCGGATAAAAAACTTGAGCATGTTTCCGGCATACTCTATCTCACTTGCAGGTGCAGCTGGTGTGGAAAGAACAGAGATCCCCACATGTAAAGCTAAGAAGTTCTTGTACATGTGTGCAGGAATCAGTGATGACAAAACAACGGGTCCTCCATATAAAAGAAAAAAGCGAAACTCAGTCGCTTTCCACCGATCAAGTTCAGCAATGCTCCTCGGCTTTCGGCTAAAATCACATGGAACACACCGTGCAATTTGAGAATTTTTTTCCGACATCTCAAGACGCACTTTGCTTCCAAGTCTGGTCACTTTTGGGCCACGTACCCACAGTGTCAAGAGCTTGTTCATGACACCCAAGCACACAAGGTGCATGTAATCTAATGGTATATCTTTCACTAGGTCAAAAGGAAGTTCCTCAAGAATACTTTCGCCTGTGTGATGCTCCTCCTGGACTTTTAAGCGAAAGCTGTCATCTGTTCGCTTGCGAGCATTGACGTTTGGGAAGCACACCCTGCCCTCACAGTAGACACCTTTTACGTCACATTTGGTGCAGCTGTAATAGCCTGTGTGGCTTCTGACATATAATACAAATGCCTTTGCTGGTGCATCACATATGAGGGCATACAAGCTAACAGGAATTGCAGTTTCTCCAATGGTAATCCCTGTTGTGATAGCAGCATTTATGTCACAAACAAATGGTCGCAAAAAATCATTCGCGTTGTTGGGCTTGCTGCTTCCGAAAAAAACACCCACTATAAATGGTGCTTTGTCCTCCAAATTACTTATGCGTCCCAGTATGCACCAAAATTGGCCCCGTGAACTTTTTGAAACCGGCAGACCGTCAATGTTGAAGCTAAGCTTCAAAATTCTTGGTAGTTCTGCACAATCTTGCAGCACTCGCTGTAGGCCTGCACTGAGGCCGAAATGATGGTATTTCCCGCCGGCCAGCTGCAACACTTCCAGGCACTTCTTGGGCGTCTGTAACAATGCCCTTGCAGTTGAAGGGAGCGCGCTGAAGCATTCGTGGGACTGTAGTACTCTCAAGAGCGATGTAACTGAAGTGTGCGATGCGCGAGATTGTAAGGCCCACGCTTGCAGTCTCTCACGAAAGGCCAGCAAGCTGTCCACACTGCCGCGTTCACAAACTTGCTCTTCGTTACTCCCAGTCGGTGCCAATTCGAAAGAATCCCTCTGCCTCACCTGCGAGGTCGCCGAAGTCGAAGCCGCAGCGCTGCTGTCATGGAAGGCACGCCGTTCGAAGTCTGTGTGATCGTGAGGCACAGAAACACTGCAGCCGCTGGGGTAGCACGCGTCGCCAGAAATCAAAACGTGTCCTTGGGGCACATCCGTTTCTGGAACGATCGAGGAGTGTGCCGAAGGCCGTTCTCTGTCATGAACACAAAGGCGACGATGGCCGTCTTCGAGGTCGACCGCACAAGCCTCGGAGGGCAAGTCGCTCTCTCTTTCGGCGTTGCGGGAATCTCGGTCAACGTACCGCGTGTCATTTATGACATCGGCCTCACTGTCAATAAGCTGAAAACTAGCATTGACGCGCCGATTAATTTCACGCCGAAATTTGCGATCCGCGCTCTCAGCCATCTTGAACAGCACAGAGCACAGTAGAATGGTGGCTAGACCAAAGAACACCCACCACCAGAACACGTTGTTAGGCTAGTCAGTTGGTTTGTACATACATACATGAATAAGCAGTAAAGATATACAGCGCGAGGCTGAAAATCAACTGTCCTCTCTTTTTTTATTTATTTACCTTTGCGGCTTACAACTTCAATATGAAAATTTAACAGAAGACACTCACCTGGCATGCTTACGATTCTTTGAGGGCTTCTGCGAGAAGCTTCCTCTATGGCGAGAAGTGTTGTATTGGAATGTTGACTCGACCAATGACTCGACTTGACTTACTGCAGGCCCATAATGATGATGATGATAGTTGCGTCACTTTAAAATGGGTAAACAGTGTCGTAGACATCCAGATTTAAAAGCACCTTGACTGCGCATGGTGACCGCATTAAGGTACTGCTTTTTTTTTGTTAGCACCACCACAACTTCAGTCGCCCATTCGTTTTCCCACAGCGTTCTAGTTCCAATGCTGCTCTATTCACGATAACCTAGGCCAGCCCAGTCGTCAGCATGGTCAGTTGTCGTCTGCTCGATGGGACCGTGCGGCATTGCAACACTGGACACTCGAGAATAACGTGCTCGCTATTCACAGTTTTCACGCCTGCATTCATTTTGGAGCCGACACCGTTTATACTCGCACCAAACTTGGTCTGCCGCACGTGCGTTCATTGGGGAAACGGGTCAGACCACAGTCAGTGCGATATAATTCCGTATGCACGTCGGCGGTAGATCACGACCAACGAAAACGTGCAGGCAGAAAGTTTGGCCTACGATCACTTACAAAGTAAATAAATAAATAATAAATAAAAGAACACGTCTTTCTCGTGTTGGCTTGAAGTGCTTCCTCGTGTAACTATCTCATTTTAATGATCGAGAAGTACTTTACTATTATGACTCGAAAGTAGGCATACGAAATCCCGTGGACTTATTCGTTAACAGCCAGAAAATTAACCAAACACGAATTGCGAAAGCTGCATGCACCTACGAAACATGCATATCCTCAAAACGTCCTCGAGCAGACGATATCAGGACAATTCTTCGTCCTTAAAAAGGTCTCAAAGGGGCATTTTGGGGATAATCCTGCAAGTGTCGACTAGAGGACCAAATGAGGACGTCCTGAAACTGCCGAGGACGTTTGTACCATATGAGGACGACCTCAGGTCGTCGAGTGTTGTCTGGGGTAAAGTGTACAGCAACTGTAAGATTACAAAATAAAACCAGCTTGTGTGATAAATTCTCTCCCGTGTTGGCTTTCAGATAAGTTAACAATTGAAAGATAAAGTGCCATCAACTAGTTTACTGCACCAATCGTCCCCGAACTTGCACATCGCTTTACCAACAAGGCCAACGTGTCACTTTATGAGAAATAGAAATCCACTGTAGCGAACTTCACCTCGGTGCAGCTGAGTTCTGCGACGAAGCAAACATAATGTGCTGTAATATGGGGTCAAGTGTCCTGACGCCCTGCCTGACACTGATTATGCTGACTACCCTGACGAAGAATCTAAACCATCATTGGTCCAAACGTAACATTCCCTATTTGCCCATTTCAACTTGAAGTTTGCCTCCACATTTGTTGACCTTACTAAAGAATACTAGGGAGTTTCTGGGTGCACTAAAGCTTGAGGTTTCGGTTTACTGTTCAGGGGGCGCGTGCATCTTTCCAAGATGTCGTCTCGCATGTGAGTAGCGTGTTTCGTTGCATGGTCGTAAACATAGACTTGTATCAGTCGAGCCAATCACGCATTAAGGCTAGACATTTGGAATTAACGAGAACAAGACCGTCTAAAGACACGACAACTTAATTTACCTTTTCTACTGAATGAAAGTGTCTAAAAATTAGAGCGTTGTGTCCCCTCTCGCTCTGCAAGTTCCCACTTTCGAGTCAATGTGAAAATATATTCAACATCTAAATCGAGAAGCACTAATACATGCGACGACACCGATGGAGTACCAGACTTGTGTCGGTTGCTAGAGACTCGCGCGCAAGCGTACTGGCTGTGGTATCAGCGTTTGAAGATGTTTGCATCGTGCCGGCATCGCTGGGGTGCGCTTAACGCACGAAATCGTTTATGCGGCTTTGTGGCGGTATTTATTAGCTGTACTTCTTTGAGCAACGTAGTTATCTGCCGTAATACTTGCTCTGTACGAACATCTGGCCGACTTGCGATGCATGTTGAAGGGCCGCGGACACCGTTAGCCAAGTTTTATTGCTCGATCTAGCGGCAATTTGAAACTACTGATTGAGGCTTCTGCGTTGTGCTACATTCGAGAAGACTGGTGATAGGCTTGTGTGTTGCGTCACACAAGACTGTGTCCGTGTTGTTGATACTCACATATACTTCTCTCTGAGAGTCGTGCGTCAAAATTGTTGAAGGTGAACCGACAATTTTTGGAATTGAGTACCCTCTATAATAAAGTTCTTGGGACATCTGCAATTTTTTGTTATATATGTCGGTTTGCTGCAAAAGTTATGCGCTGTACCACTCATCGCAGAGCAGGCAAAGCATGTCCTTTTCATTAGAGATCGTGTCCATTGGGAACATGTTAGAGGTGCATTAATTTCAAGTTGAACGTACGCAATCTTTCACTACATAGAGGTCTTTTTTTAGTTTTGAAGGCATTGCACTGTGATTGATGCCGAAGCAGATCCAAGTGCATGACATTGAAGCAAGTGGGATGGTAAATGAAACAGCTCATTTGTTAGCTTCTTCAGGACCACACTTGTTATTTTTCAGTAATCTACATTCAAAGTATATGCTTGATAATTGCAACTGGGCAGAAAGAAATTGTGTGCAACCTGCATATCTACATGTGTAACTGTGTTGGCCTAGGCTGTTTGCGCAATGCACTGTTGAATGCATAGATATACGAGTCAACCTACAAAACTCGACACATTTAACCTGCATCACGACCCCTCATGAGTCATTTTCGCAGGTTACACAGAATGCACATACACCTCATTCTCACCAACTTCACGTATTCAAATAGAGATTATAAAGCCAATCAGGCCAGTTGGAAAAAAAAGAAGTAATATAAAAGGGTTGCTTTACTGTAAACCTTTGGTCACTTATTCCACAGTGCACACTGAAAGGAAGCTGCACTGTAGGACTCGTAACATCCACTGGGCAGGTGCTCTTGACTCTTCTGTAACACTGCAGATCGTTGATTGACACGAGCCCCAGCCTTAGGTACACTGCCTGGAATTGGTGAATGGCTGCGGCGGCTGCATTTCCGATGGAGGCAGAAATGTTGTAGGCCCATGTGCTCAGATTTGGGTGCACGTTAAAAAACCCCAGGTGATTGGAATTTCCGGAGCCCTCCACTACAGCATCTCTTATAATCATATGGTGGTTTTGAGACGTTAAACTCCATATATCAATTAATCAATCAATGAAATTGGCAAAGAAAACTACAATATGCTTCTATGTTCGTCTCTCCATTAGCCTTTTATATAGATAGATGGCTTGCACTGTAAATCAGGTCCCGCTGCGGTGGTCTAGTGGCTAAGGTACTCGGCTGCTAACCTGAAGGTCGTAGGAATGAATCCCGGCTGCGGTGGCTGCATTTTCAATGGAGGCGAAAACGCTGTAGGCCCATGTGCTCAGATTTGGGTGTACGTTAAAAAACCACAGGTGGTCAAAATTTTCAGAACCATCCAGCGTGGCGTCTCTCAATCATATGGTGGTTTTGGAACGTTAAACCCCATATATAAATCACTGTAATCAGCATGGCTGCTATCTTAGAGCGCCTGCACACTGAGGAGCTGTGAAAACAAGAAAGATGAAGGCACGAATAATGCGTTTTGAGACATACGACGAATTCACAACACTGATAGTCACTAAAGAAATGATCACTGCTATAATATGAAACATTGCACGGGTGTTAATATTGTGTACTCGCTTCGTCATGACTGTTATATTCGAGTTATTGTGTTTGTGAAGACATGTGGTGTCTATACTGTGTCCGTCACGTCACTAGAAAACTATCTGCTGTTTACGTGTGCGTTAATATGTATTTTCTGCTCTGCCTCATCAATACGGCTCGCCAAGTTGCCCTATGGGTACATCTTAAGTAAGCTCATCTATTGTCTGCTCTTTAGTTACCCGCTGTACGTGAAAGGCAATCCTCAGCTGCGGGTCTTCCTGCCAAACTTCTGGATGAAGCTGGTGAAGCATGACAAGCCCCTCCCTCCTAATGAGGTCAAGTTCATGATATCCCTCCAGTGAGTACTGTAATGCCAATTCAGAATGTGGAGACTGTAATTTTGTTGCTGTAACACTCGCGGCTCTTCTAGGTACAGTAAAGAGAAAAGTGATTTCCGCTTACATTTGCAAGTTATCATCCATAAGAAGAAAAACACCACCTTGCTACATCCAATACTTTCCAAACAATACAAAATAAGAAAATGCTCCCGATGCAGCCTCGTTGAAGTTCATGCACTAGCTGGCCATGATATTGTAGATTTCAACTCCGTCTTCCGTGTCCTATAACTTTTTATTGCTAAAAATAATTACATTGCATGTTAGAGAATGAAGGTGAGGTAATGAATTGATTTGCCCATTGTTTCACTAAACACAAGTGTGTAAAGCCTGCAAATAATAAAGGGAAGGAAAGCATACATATAGGGGTTGCTTGGTAGTTTTAAAGTGTAGGAATCAGGCTGGTAAGATGTAACCATAAAAAGATGGGGCAGCAACTTTAAGAAAAGGGGGTGCAAGTAGCTGTGGAATGATATTCATCAAATGGCTAGCCTCCTCTTGTCTCTTGCTGGCTTCAGACATTGAACCTTTGCAAACTATATTATTAATGGTACCTGAAGGCAATTTCCAAATGTGAGGAGAAATTTACTACGACCGATTTATAGCATGGAGTTATGAAAAAATTATTACGGATTGTGGATTCATGCTGCGACAGCGGCTGGTTATCAGTCCCTCTTTCTTGAACCTGATATTGGTTTGTACTATTCTTCTAAATGTACATGCAGCTGTCTCAAATTGTCGATCTTCCATCGTACAACATTCGTTATGTGTTAAGTTTTTGACTCTTCAATAGAAATAATCCGATGCATGTATAACACACAGGATGACAAAGTATGACGTCAAAAACTACCTGGAGAAGATCTACAATGTGCCTGTGGCAGACGTCAGGACCGCCATAGTACAAGGTGAGGCAATGCAGGGAGCTGTGGCAGTGTGCTGTGGTACAATAATCTTGAAGATGTGGGCATCAAATGTTTCCAGTACTGTCATTTGTCTTGTGGTAACCCCCGCAGGGGCGCCTGCGCAAGTAGGCGTTTGGTGTGTAGCGACACCACGGACCCGAGCTAACGGGGGAGTTTCTACTCCCTCCCACGCCTAGCCGTGCGTGGCTTTGCCGTGTCCGGGGAAAAGGGGATCCTGGGGGTTGAGCCGACGCTGGGTGATTGGACCGTCAAGGCCCCCCGGCAGAGGCAACACACCCCTTTGGCCCCGGCTTCACGTAGACGGCACCCCTGGGCTGACCCACCCAGGGGAAATCGGCAGTCGCCTTTTCCTATCTCCCTCTCCCTACATCTTCGTCTTTATCTCTTACTATTTATCTGTCCTGTCTTCTACTCTCTTCCGTTTACTTCCAAACTTCCTGGCGGCTAGGGTTAACCCTGTGCAAGTAGCCTACCTTGGTCTAGGCGCATTGGGTTATAGTTGCGTTGTACGGCTGGCGTCTGCAGGTTTTAGCATCCACAAACTTGTAGCGTCCCCTCGTTGGGCTCCGTGGTGGGTGGCCGCCAACGCTTCTGAAGAAAATTAAACTGTCATGCATAGAGCATTTCCCTTATTAAGTGATCGTACCGCCTTAAAGCGTGTACGCACCGAAGACTTAGGCTTTTTCAACCGATCAAGTGAAAACTTCCCCCATTTTCATGTTATACATAGTGAGATAAGCAGCAAGCAAGCCAGAACTGTATCCCCCTTTGTAGTAGCCAGATGTCTCACAGAAACTCTTGGAGCCGGGTACAAAGTTACCAAAATGGCCAGCGGAGACCTCCTCCTTGAAGTTCGAGAAAAAGAACAGTTTGAAAAGCTACAGAATTTATCAACTTTTGGTGACACTCCCATCACTGTAACGCCACACAGATCGATGAACACAACTCGTGGAGTAGTATCTGATGCTGATTTGCTAGGCTTGACTGAAGAGGAACTTCTGGAGGGGTGGAAGAGTCAGAATGTGACCAATGTACAAAGGATCACCATTAGAAGAGACAACAAGGTAACACCAACGAAACACCTGATACTCACGTTCGCTTCCAGTAATCTGCCAGGAAGTATTCAAACAGGGTACACAAAGACGTCAATCAGACCATACATACCTAACCCGCGTCGTTGTTTTAAATGCCAGAAGTATGGCCACGGCTCACAAAGCTATCGTGGTCAGCAAACTTGTGCACAATGTGGAGTGTCAGGCCACAATTCTGACAGTTGCGAAGAACCATCACACTGTGTGAACTGTGGTGGAAATCATGCCGCGTACTCACGTTCATGTTCTTTCTGGAAAAAAGAAAAAGAGATCATCACTTTAAAGATAAAAGAAAACATTACATTTAAAGAAGCAAGAAAAAGAGTCTCGCCATTTTATGGCCCCACATATGCTGATGCGGCGCGCCAGGGGGCAGTGTCGCACCAGCCCTCGCCACTCCTTCGGCCTGCGCAGAGCGAGCCATTGGCTGTGGCACCTGCCCCCAAGGCGGCAGTAGTTGAGTCTACTCCGCCTACTATTGAACAGAGACCAGGGACTCCGGGGTCCTCGGGTCTCAAGGCCTCACCTCGCCAGGCGAGGCCCAAGCTTCGAAAAACCAGCTCGCATGAGCGAGCATCCAGTGCCTCCGAGGAGGCAATGGACACGGCGGCACCCCTAGTGCCAAAAGAACGGCGCGGCTCTCTCGAGCGCGCCAAGAAAACCAAAAAGCTCATAACAGGGCCTGACAATGGCCTTGGTACTTGAGCTCGACCTTTCAGCTTTAACAAGTCACTCCCTTAACGTACACACAGCACTACTTTACTTCCAATATGGACACACAAATTATACATTGGAACGTCAGAGGACTGCTTAAGAACCTCGACGACGTACAAGAGCTTTTATACAAATACTCACCTCAAGTGCTGTGTGTACAAGAAACACACCTAAAATCCTCCAATACAAATTTTTTACGTGCTTACGTCATATACCGAAAGGACCGAGATGATGCTGTGGCGTCATCCGGTGGCGTAGCCATTATTATTAACCAAGGAGTAGCGTGTACACATTTACCACTCCAGACATCTCTTGAGGCGGTGGCTGTTCGAGCGGTGTTTTTAAACAAACTCGTCACCATCTGCTCTTTGTATGTACCTCCCCACCACCGTCTTGAAAGACGTGAATTTCAGTCTTTAATAGACGAACTGCCAGAACCTTATTTGCTTCTTGGGGACCTAAATGCACATAGTGGACTGTGGGGCGATTCTCGCTGTGATGCACGAGGTCGTCTCATTGAACAATTTCTCTTCTCTTCCGGTGCCTGTTTGTTGAATAGGAAAGAGCCAACATACTATAACGTTGCCAACAAAACTTACTCGTCTATCGACCTCAGCATCGTATCACCTTCACTCCTACCCCTACTCAAATGGAAAATCATAAATAATCTGTATGGTAGTGACCATTTTCCAGTAGTGTTGTGTTCACAAACAACATATGAAGGTCCTCTACACGTTCCCAAATGGCTGATAAACAAAGCAGACTGGGAACAGTTCCATAACACTACACGTTTGAGTTGGACAGACATATGTAGGTTAAACATAGATGAAGCTGTGCAGTATTTCACAGCTTTTCTAACTGACGCAGCAGCCAAGTGCATACCGCAAACATCTGGAATGCCCGGCAAACGACACGTCCCATGGTGGAACACAGAGTGTCGTAATGCGCGAAAGGAACAGAACAGGGCATGGAGGTTGCTGCGGAACTCACCAACAGCCGAAAATCTTGACACCTTCAAGAAAATAAAGTCTCAAAGAAGGAGAACGCATCGGCAGGCCAGAAGAGAAAGTTGGCACAAGTTTTTATCAGGAATAAATTCGTATACACAAGAGCCCAAAGTCTGGAACATGGTTCGTAGGGTAGCAGGAAGAAAAGTACACTCACTCCCACTCGTAAACACTCAGGGTGATACCTTGGAAGATCAGGCGAACTTCCTCGGTGCACACTTTAAACGGGTATCCAGCTCATCCCACTATACTGACACTTTCCAAAAATACAGAACAAGAATAGAAAAGCAGGAACTCGAACACAAATCCACCAGATACGAGGCATATAACCAAGCTTTCAGTCTAGCTGAGCTCCGAACATCTCTAAACTCCTGCAGTACTTCTGCCCCAGGTTCTGACCGCGTGATGTATGAAATGTTAAAAAACCTACCAAACGAAACCCGAAAAACTTTACTTTGTTTGTACAATGCTATTTGGTCTTCTGGCACTATTCCTACCTCCTGGAAAGAGGCTATTGTTATTCACATTTTGAAAGAGGGCAAGGACCCTTCTTCAGCTTCAAGTTATAGGCCTATTGCACTTACAAGCTGCTTGTGCAAAGTCTTCGAAAAAATGATAAACTGCCGACTTGTACATATCCTTGAAACAAACAATTTGCTCGACCCATTTCAGTGCGGTTTTCGAGAAAGTAGATCCACCACAGACCACCTTGTTCGTATCGAGGCACAGATCAGAGACGCCTTCGTCCATAAACAATATTTTCTTTCTGTGTTCCTCGATATCGAAAAGGCTTATGATACAACATGGCGTTTTGGAATTCTAAGAGACCTGTCCCACTTTGGTGTGCGCGAAAGAATGTTTCACATAATCGAAAGTTACCTGTCAAACCGGACATTCCGTGTCCGAGTGGGCACGGTTCTTTCCCAAACATTTGTTCAGGAAACAGGCGTGCCACAAGGTGGTGTACTTAGCTGCACACTTTTTCTCATCAAAATGAATTCTTTGCACTTGTCCATTCCCCGCAATATGTTCTATTGTACATATGTCGACGACGTTCAGCTTGGCTTCAAGTCGTGCAACTTGGCCATGTGTGAGCGGCAGGTTCAGCTGGGTTTAATTAAGGTCTCCAAATGGGCAGATGAAAACGGATTTCGACTTAACCCACAAAAAAGCACGTGTGTCTTGTTCTCTCGAAAGAGAGGCATGCACTCGGAACCTGACATTCGACTGAACGGGCAATGTCTGTCCGTCAAAGGCGAGCATAAATTCTTAGGCTTGATCTTGGACAACAAGTTGACCTTCGTACCGTACATCAAGTATTTAAAAACAAAATGTTTAAAAGCCATGAGTGTTATAAAAGTGTTGTCACGTACTTCGTGGGGTAGTGATAGGCAATGCCTCATGAACCTCTATAGAAGCCTCATTCGCACCCGCTTAGATTATGGGGCCGTTGTCTATCAGTCTGCCACTCAAAGTGCCTTGAAGATGCTGGACCCCGTGCACCACTTGGGCATCCGCCTTTCTACGGGTGCTTTTCGCACCAGCCCCGTAGAAAGCCTTTATGTTGAGTCAAATGAGTGGTCGCTTCATCTGCAGAGAACTTACATGTCCTTTGTTTATTTCCTTAAGGTGAAAGCAGACAAAATGCACCCCTCATACTCTACAATTAATGATTGTCGAGCTCAACTCTGTTTCAAAACAGGCCTTTAATGATGCAGCCCTTCTCAGTTCGCCTGAATTGTATAGCTGAAGAAACTGCAGTGTCACTTGAACACAGTTTAATGGCTCCTGTAGCATACCCACCACCGTGGCAGTGGCAGACTATAGACTGCGATGTGTCTTTCCTAGAAGTTACAAAACATGCACCTATTGCCCATATCCGAACATACTTTTTGGAACTTCAACACAAATACACACGTCCTGAGTTCTTCACAGATGCCTCCAAGACTAACTCCTCTGTGTCCTACGCTGCTGTCGGCCCATCCTTTTCGGATGCTGGCCCTCTGCATCCACGTTCAAGTATCTTCACAGCGGAAGCTTACGCGATACTTGTGGCAGCTAAACACATCAAACAATTACAAATACAAAAAGCAGTAATTTATACAGACTCCCTCAGTGTGGTAACGGCTCTGCACAGTCTTAAAAACAAAAAACCCGGTCCTTGTCTCACTTTACTCCATTTTGTGCACACTCTACACACTCAAACAACATGTTGTAGTGTGCTGGGTGCCAGGGCACCGTGAGATCCAAGGCAACGTGAGGGCGGATCAGCTCGCTGCATCTGTCCACGAGAGCACCGCCGTTACATCCATATCAATCCCGGCCCTTGATCTTAAGCCATCTCTCAAACGAAACCTCAGGGACTACTGGCAGAGCAAGTGGGATACACACACACAAAACAAACTACACGTTATCAAGCCACACCTTGGCCATTGGCCACCAGTATCAAAATCACAACTAACAGAGGTAACACTAACAAGACTCAGGGTAGGACACACATACACGACACACACACATCTTTTGTCCGGTGGTGATCCACCATTGTGTGATAAATGTGGGGAGGCATTAACAGTTATTCACGTTTTAATTCAGTGCAAACAATTGGGCACTATAAGAAGACAACACTTTCCATTACCCTACCGACAACATATACCTTTACACCCTTCAAGGTTCGTCGGTAGGGAACCGTTTTTTAGTCATAAATCATTATTAGCGTTTTTAAAGGAAATTCATAACTTTCATATCATATACCCGGGCATACCGTAGCACGACCTCTCTAGAGAGGTTTTTGCTGCGGTGGCTACACAGGAAAGCACTTGCCTCACGGCCCTTGGACGCAAGGGTATGAACCAGTGAGGTACTTGTGCTAATGCCATACATGTCCACCATCATTTTTCATTAGCACTAAGTTTTGTCACCTATTCATATCACACACACCTTTCACGACATGGTCATGATTTTATTACTTGTATGTTTTTACCCGCCTTATTGCGAGGAATTTTATGGCCCTTATACAGCCGCTAATCACAATCATTGTCCACATTCTTTGTCCCATGAACTGGCGCTCTTTGGCCATCAAATGGCCCTTGCGCCAAAAAACACCATATATCATCATCTTGTGGTAACATTAATTGCATTAGAATCTCAGTGATACCAACCTGGATGATGCGAAAATCAGTCTGATACGGATTTGTAAATCTCCCCTGTATAATCTCATTGTGTACAACAGGCTGAAATTTGTATGTTCGAAACCCTTATCCACGTCTCGACGAGTGGTACGAACTTGGGTACTGAAACCGCCAAAAGACGCACAACAGGTGCGTGCTTAAAAAGCATCAGAAATATGCACGTGGCCAGCGCACGTGAAGTCACAACTGCGGTTATTATTTGCACTGTGAACGGAGTGGCATTTGCTGTCGATGTGATCATGTAGGGTGACAACGAAGCTTCGAAAGTGCACGCGTGTCCATTGCTCACCGAGTCAAAGCAATGGTGCTTGCAGAAACTGCTGTAGACTAAAGTGCGGTAGCCATGACCGTAAGTAGTAACAATGTAGTTCCGAAGGCCCATGCGGCGCCAGCACATGCCGATTGAAAACGCAACTCCATAACCACTGTGCACAACACCGCAGTTGCTGTCGATGTGATCATTGACAGGCACTACGCTGCTTTGAAGGTACACGGCCCATGCAGTGGTGGATTAGAGGCAATAAAGCTGTAAAAAAGAATAAGTGTTTTAGCACTCTTACCATTTGCTGATGACTACGACGGAGCATACTTCGACTGTTAGTTTTACAGTGAAGCTGTGACAGTTACACTCACAGCAATTATCTGTGCCTTCCCTTTTGGTCAGAAAGACACATGCAAGTTATCTTGGCGGCAATACAGGTTTTGGTTTGAAAATAGATGTTGCTAGTTTTTTGGTGCTGCGAAATTTCTGGTGACATGAATATTTTTGGGTGATATGAATATTTTCGCTCCCCCTTGAGACTCTCATATCGCCCGAGATTTTACGGTGCATCACGTGGTGCTTAAAGTGCTGGTGAAACGTGAAGTACAACTCCACTGATACATTCCTCACACATTCTCCGACGTGCAACGTTTCTGGTGTATGCTCCCTGCAAATCTGTATAGATATCCATTTGTAGAGTCTTCTTTTGAAGTACCATTTCGGCAATGATGCTTTGTGAACCGTGCTGTTCTGGGCATACTGAGGAGATACATCAATTAGGTTTGGTAATGTGGACTGCAATAAAGCCATCCTAGTGCTTAAAGGCAAGTCTAGCCCTGGCAGAGATTTAAAAGAAATCCCAGACTTCCATAAAGGACTCCCTGAAAGGGACCCTCTAACAGTCCTCCAGCATGGTCAGAAAATGCTGCCGATTGGTAGTCGAGGCTCTAGAAAACAGGTGAGCCAAGCGTTATAGCATAACACGTGGCCTGGAATCATTTTTCGGGGGGGGGGGGGGGGAGTCTACTAAAGATCATTCCCCCTTCTTTCTACTAATAGTGCTATATACCCAAATGACTGCGCCATATATTCAAATTTCAGCCATTAGCCGATTCGAGTGTCGTGTGCTTCATAGTTACAGAGGTTGCTGCAAGAGGGTGCCACGTGCCTGCGCACTTGCTCTTGATCACACTGAAAGCAAGCCATGCGTTCCCCCCTAAAAAAAAAAAGTTCTTAACGCCTTCACGCATACGTGACGTAACTTCTTTCCTTTGTTCCGTCCCTCCCTGCTCAGCTTCTGGTACGTTTGTCGGGGCAAGAGGCTAGCGAAAACAATTACAGTGTGCAACAACTCACTGTAGCTGCGCTCGTACTTGACATATTCTAAGTACTTTTGCGGCAGTTGATTCATGAGGCAAAGAACTTCTTCAAACGGAGTGACTCAACATTTGCTTTGAAACATGTTGCAGGGTCCCTTTAATTTCAGAAGTGGACTGATAAATTTTGAGAATAGAGCTGTGTGCAGTGCTTCTTTTTTAATATTTAGTAGCACTCTGTTAATTTAACGCATGTTCGTGTTCTATGTACCGCGGGGATGATCCGAAGCCTTCATTCTCGTCGGCCTCCTCCTGCGCACTGAGAAACATTGAACTGAGGCTGGCTGTTCTGTTTATGTGCCTTGTTCCTTACTTTCTGGTCTTGCTTTCTTTTTATTGCAGGCAAGATAAGGAAAGCAGAGGGAAAGGGATACCTAGTCAAAGATGATGACTATCGAGTTGCATTTGTAACACTGGTGAGTTGCATCCAATTTAAGTGTATCGTAAAATGTCCAGAAAACACCCCTACCCGCACAAGGGCCTCCCTCGCTTCTTTGGGAGAATTAAAATACGCGACGTTTCCTCCCCTCGCACCATTTTCATTGTTTCATTCATCATTTTTATTAGCCTGACGAAGGCAACTGAAAACAGCGTATGCATGCGTATTGAACACAGCATTTCATGAGAAGCGCGGGTTGTGCATTCTTTAATCTTAGTGGCTCTTCCACAGCCATCCTGAATTTTGATCCGGGACCGAGCACGGGCCCTCGCCTGTAAATCTCGTGGAATTATCTTTTACTGAAGAAGGGGCACTTGCTCAAGATTCTATGGTCTTTTGCTGCTGCTTCTGGTGGTGGACTTATGCTACTCAAAAGGGCACACGAGGGACTAGACAGATTGTGCGTTCTTGTACATAAGTTAGCACATGTAGCAGCACTATGAATTCTTGTTGTTTCACTCTTGATGATATCGAGACAGTGAGGTCGCGAAGTGAAACAGAAGGCGGTACCGGAGATTGCCTGGTCCACTGACATGCTCAGAAACGAGAATTTAGGCAGTGCTGGTTATGTGAGGGAAAATGAATAGCCAACTGAGCAACGTGAATAAAGGAATGCATAGAGGTGCCTTGGGAAAAAAAAAAGAATAACATTTCTGTTTCCAGTTATTGGCTTATCCACAGGTTCGACTTTTCTCCTGAAATTTTTCAATTTTGCATGCGTATATATGCCGGGTGTTTAAGAAAATTTGACCTAAATCCTTAAATGTTAGGGAAGTGTGTTATATGTTCGATGCCTTCACAGTTACTGCTTCTCAAGCCAGAAGCATCTTAAAAAGAAAAAAAACATCATTTTGGACAGTAATTGAGAAAGTTAAATTGGTTAATTTTTTAATTAATGGAGTTATGTGGCTATGCCAAATGGGAGATCTGAAGTCCCTCATGCAAAGAACCCATTGCAGCTTTCAGATGTCTATGAACCATCCTATAGCAATAATCGTGAGGTAGTGAAATTCCACCAGATTCAGTAGCAAAACCTAATGTGGATTGACTACACCTCTACAGTCCTTGTTTTGAACAGTGACATCATTCTAGTCTTCTGCTTTTTCTGCTCGTTAGTGCGTTGGTTTTGGTTTCACCGTTGAATTCGGTTGAATTTCATTACGCTGGAAAAATTGTTAGAGGCCACCACTATTTCTGTGTCTCGAAGCTGCGATGACTCTTCGCATGAAGAACTTCAATCCTCTCTTTTGACATAACTGTCTAACTACACTAATTCAAAACTTAATGTACCTTTCTCAATTAGTGTAGCAAATTATGTCTTTAACTATATTAGATTCCTGTCACCACAGAAAAATCAGTTATGCAGACAGCAAGCAAACACCGCATTTACCCAATTTTCGAGTAATTTGAAAAGATTTGTTTAAAATGCCCTCTATATGCACACACACAGTTATCTGCTAGCTTAACACGAATGCTCCGACGCGTGACCAGCACTAGTTTAAGCGATGCCAGCCGCAAAGCACTAGGCGCTTTTGCTAAGATAATACCTCGGTATGCTTAGATAGTATGTCGGCAACAGGACCGAAACCTACGCGGTTCTAGCATCAATCAAACTGTTTCGTGTTGAGCTCGCTGACAACTGTACATATGCATACATGAGTTTATGTAAAGGGTGCTTGAAGCACCCCTGTATAAAATTTCTGGCTGTGCCCATATCTGATGGTGTGTGAACACAGATGATTACACTGTATGTCGCGCTTACGGTTGTTAAAAGATTAGACGAAAATGTTTGGTCACGTGTGAGGGCTGCACCTCTTTGAGATTGCAAAAAGAAAGTGCGGGCCTTGTGAGCACCTTTACGTTTTAGAATGAAAACAGCGGTGGTATGCAGTAGGAAAAAACTTAGGCGCCATGGTTTATGGAGCAGCTGAGGTCCTGTATCTTGTGCAAACGTGGCCTTTAATTAAATGTTGCAGCACGTGGTAGTTTTCGTATTTCCTTGTGACCGGACCGTTACATGTGTAACCACTGCTCGGCACGAGCTGTGGCAATATTGTCACGACGTCAAAACATGATTTGATGATTGAATGATTTGTGGTGTTTAACGTCCCAAAACCACCATATGATTATGAGAGACGCCGTAGTGGAGGGCTCCGGAAATTTCGACCACCTGGGGCACGACGTCAAAACAGAGGTCTTGCCGCAGAGATTGAGACGCCAGAAGCAGGTCGGTCTTTTTTTTAATAGAACGCGCAAGAGAGTTCTTCTTTTTCATCCATATCATTGTACTTGGGTTAACTTTGCGGATGTTTCAGGGCTTTCCATTAATATAACATACCCATTGTGAGTAGTCTAGTTAGTTATGGAGCTAACGCGAGCGACAACGATAAGGCTGGAAGGTTCCATTGAGCATGTACAAAAGACAAAGCATTTCGCAGACCTTCCGGCTATTGAACAATTGATGACTGTGTGGTGTACACGTATCCCGAAGGAGTACGGCCACCAGCGTGGGTCCGGTCTTAGCGAGCCGCAGGGCACGCTTTAACCGTCGCCGTGGCGGGAAACACGATACTGCTCAAGTCGCAACACTTTATTGTGGCAACACCAACGCAGTACAGCCCGTTGCAAAAAGGCGCGGCGGGAAAGCAAGTAGGCTTATCCACGCCACGGGCACAAAGTACTACACAGGGGTGCCACGAGCACGTCTCCGCGGTAAAGGTAATCCACGGAGACACCGGGACAAAGGGGCCCGGTTGCTCGAGCGAGGGCAAAGGCGCTCGCGTTGGCTTCGAAGGGAGACGGGTCGGCGTAGCTAGGCCACGCACTAGGACACCGTACTGCCCTTCGGCCGTGAGTACGCAGCGGGGCAACAAAAGGTGAGCGTTCGCATCGGGCGCGAGGCGCCGTCAGCGAAGTCCGACGAGCCCCGGGCGACGGGACTCGACGGACGGAAAAGAATGCGTGGCTCACCGTTTGAAGTCCCGGACTGTACTCGCCGCTCCCGACGCAGCGCGCGCAAACCTCTCGGGAGGCTCCCCGCGCGGCGCCACAGTCAACATCCGCTACCGGGTGAGGGAGTTAAACGTCACTCCGCCCTTCCCAGCGCGGCAGACAGCAAAGGAGGGCAGACATGTCGGGACATGAGAATGGTAGAAAGGCGGGAAAGCCCGCGCAAAGGCAGCGGGCCAGCCTCAATTCCCACATCCCCCTCTCCTAAACTTGTCCTTTACCGGTCTGCAAAAGGCAGCCGGACGTCACCCATGCAGTTAAAATGACACTGCTATGAGCGGTAGCTAACCTCAGTCCAGCCCTGCTACTGCTGCTTAAAAGAAATATGATTACAAAGGAGAAACAAAACATAAATAACAAAATAAACACACGACACTATACAAATACTGCAGAAGGGAGCACAGCAACGTGGCACTAGTGTTCGTGGTGCTAAAGGGGGATAGCGTCCAGTGCGCGGAGGTGCGGTAAAGGCGTGACAGTGTCCGCTGGGTGCGATGCCCGAGTGCGAGGTCACAGGTACCGGAAGGGGGCTCACTGATGGCTTGTTGCTGCTCTTGATAAGCCGCGAGTCCGACGAAAGCCGCTTCGGTTGTTCGGAGGCCCCGCATTTCCGGCTCGATGACGAAGCTGGACGTTGCGGGAAGCCGGGCCTCTCCGGTGGTCAGGGAGGCCGAACCAAAATTGGCTGCGAGGCGCCCTGGCGTTGGCCGGCAGCATATAGCTGCTTTCAGCTGGCCTCGCGCAGGAGCCATGGTGGAAAAGGCAGCACGGCTTCTTCGGCGACGGCCAAGAGCAGAGCACAGCCAGATGGTCTGACGTCAGTGGGTCAATGAGCCCCCAGCACCTCCAGTGTCCGCGTCGATGGAGGGCAGCCATGACGCACTCTTCGCGGGCTCGCACTGAAGCGTCACGCACTTACACACGCACGCACACACACCGCCGACGGCTGCGCGAGCGTAGGCGCAAAGCGTCCTTCGTCTCTCTCCCTCCCGGCAAGCACCGACACACAAGGTCACACACAGCTCCCTTCGCGATAGCGAAACGAATACGGAAAAAAAAGTAAAAACAGAGCAAAACGACACTCAACCTCTGGCGAAAAAACATAAAACACAAATAACACTTAATATTAGACAAAAACATAAAATACACATGAACACTTCAAAAAAAAAAAAAAAGAAAACACTGGCAGCAGACACGGCGGGGTCAACTTCTTTACGAGAAAAGGCCGTAAAGAAGCTAACCTATACTGAGGCTAGACAGTAAACTGAGGGCCTTCGGTTGCGGAGAAGTCCGCCGTCCGGCGCGAAATCACAAAGGTGACCGCTTCCTCAGCTTATACCGGTGCGGGGTCCGAATGCGGTCCGCCGCTCCGGGTGTGCCCGTTGCTTGCGCGAAGTGCCGCAGGGCACTGGCGCAAGCTCGTCAGACCATGACAAAGGGCTTCAGGTCTGCGATGTGGGCACGGCTGAGTTTTCCCAAAGGGGATCTTTCAGCTAGTACGCGCCACGGACGCTCACTGACAATCGGTTCATAAGACCGGGCGGCTTTCCAACCCTTGGCTCAACCGTTTGTCAGACGTGGCAGGCACGGAATAGCGATAAAAGCCACGCTTCGTGCCGGGCCAGGTCACAACATTGCTCAGTTTGCAAAAACTTTCGAGCCACTCAGGTGACCGGCCATGGGTTCGTCGTGAGAGGATCGCAACAGTGCGGCTCTCAGACTTTTGGGCATAACCACCTTAAACGGGTCTATGGACTCGTCGTCAGTGGCTATATATTTCAGCAGGAGCCCGTCATGGTCCAGCAAAATGAATCCGCCGGGGACTCAGCGACACACGCTGTTTCAGCCCCCTAATCGCGCCCGCCGCAGAACAAGCAGCGTAACGGCGCTCCGCGCCTCGTCAAGACGGCTTAACGGCGCCCGCCGCAAAGCAAGCAGCGTATACGGCGCTCCGTCCCTCCGAGACTCGAAACGGATCACTCTGCTGAGCCTTCAGTAGCTCTTCGCTGCCGAAAGCAATTCCCATTCTCCCAAATGGGGGAGTCTGGTATCGCGCCCACTCAGGACCGCAGCAACCGCCGCGTGAGTCGGCGTTACGGGTTCACTCTCGGCCTCGTGGCCTTCGGAAAGCTCCCCCGCTCGGCCGCTTCGCGGTGCGCCGCTTACCTGGATAGCAGCCAAGGTTTGTCCGCATGGGGACTCACCCTTCTCGCCGAATGGCGGCGAAGCTGCTGTTTCGCCCCCGACGCTTGCATGTGCTAAGGCACCGCGAGCGGCCGTCGCACCGAAATCCAGGTTCTCGGCAGACAACAGGGGGCACGAGATAGCGCGTCAGCTACCACGTAGGAGTGTATTCACCACAAAAAGGGGTGACGACACAGGCGAGCGCCGAAGGGCGCCCGTCGATAGAGGCGGTGGCCTCTTGGTGCAACGCGGCATGCCACGAAGCAGACATAACGTTCGGTTAGGGCAAGAGGCCCATTCCGAAGCGACGCGCCATCTCCAAAGGGAGCGGCTAGGCGCCTCGTGTCGTCACCGCAATAGGGGGTGCCGACACAGACGGGTGCAGAAGGGTGCCCGTCAATAGAGGCAATGGCCTCCGTGTGCAACGCGGCATCCGCTAAAAGGGACAGCGGACAAAAGTCCCGCGAGGCAGCCATGTTGCGACGAGCCCGAATCGCGCAGGCGACCTGACTCGCTAAGAGCAGTCAAAAGCTAGAGCTTTTGATACCGCGTTGGGCGCCAGTGTGGTGTACACGTATCCCGAAGGAGTACGGCCACCAGCGTGGGTCCGGTCTTAGCGAGCCGCAGGGCACGCTTTAACCGTCGCCGTGGCGGGAAACACGATACTGCTCAAGTCGCAACACTTTATTGTGGCAACACCAACGCAGTACAGCCCGTTGCAAAAAGGCGCGGCGGGAAAGCAAGTAGGCTTATCCACGCCACGGGCACAAAGTACTACACAGGGGTGCCACGAGCACGTCTCCGCGGTAAAGGTAATCCACGGAGACACCGGGACAAAGGGGCCCGGTTGCTCGAGCGAGGGCAAAGGCGCTCGCGTTGGCTTCGAAGGGAGACGGGTCGGCGTAGCTAGGCCACGCACTAGGACACCGTACTGCCCTTCGGCCGTGAGTACGCAGCGGGGCAACAAAAGGTGAGCGTTCGCATCGGGCGCGAGGCGCCGTCAGCGAAGTCCGACGAGCCCCGGGCGACGGGACTCGACGGACGGAAAAGAATGCGTGGCTCACCGTTTGAAGTCCCGGACTGTACTCGCCGCTCCCGACGCAGCGCGCGCAAACCTCTCGGGAGGCTCCCCGCGCGGCGCCACAGTCAACATCCGCTACCGGGTGAGGCAGTTAAACGTCACTCCGCCCTTCCCAGCGCGGCAGACAGCAAAGGAGGGCAGACATGTCGGGACATGAGAATGGTAGAAAGGCGGGAAAGCCCACGCAAAGGCAGCGGGCCAGCCTCAATTCCCACAACTGTAATCACCATTATCATTGTGTTGTTTTTCTCGCTTGTACAGTGAGTCGTGCTTGATTTTCTGGGTTCAAGTTCCCCAATATCAAGTTTCATCTTTGACACTTTGACTTGCCGCGGCTGTGGCGCATGCATTTTCGATGGAGGCGAAAATGCTGTAGGCCTGTGTGCTCAGATTTGGGTGCACTTTAGAGTGCACCCAGGTAACCGAAATTTCTGGAGCCCTCCACTACGGCGTCTCTCATGATCATATGGTGGTTTTGGGATGTTAGACCCCACATATCAATCACTTTGACTTGTCCTTTTTGTGCTGTCTCAACTACGTGACGTTATTTAAGCGCTTCTTGGTTTATGTGACTGACGCAGTCAACCACTAAAATAGCAGTAGCATCTTGCATCGATGCAGCAGGAATTGACACTCTAAGTCGGTTTTGCAAACTTTTGTCAACAGCTGTACATGTGGCAATGTTGTACTAAAAGAAGAGCTCAAATATTCTAGTGATAAAACCTTGTAACTTTTCGTCTCCTTTGCTTGTCTGCTGCACAGCCTAAGGGCGAGACGTTCACCTTCCCGGATCTCTTCAGCAAACCGGCGACTGTTGAAAAGGAGAAGGCCATCACAAAGCAAATGGAACAGGCTGAAAAGCTGCAGAAGGTGCACATCCGCAAGGACCCGCACAGGCAGGGCCTGCCCAACTGGTTTGGCCTCTGACGGGGGACTCTTGTTTCGACTGTTGCAGCGCTGAGCGGTTGAGTTGTACTATAGAAGATTTTAGAATACATTTTGTTTGTTGAAACTTGTCCATCTTTGGCTACCGTTATTTTAATGCCACTAGCTGCGTGCTGGTTGTAGGGGCCTGCTACACGTCTGAAAAATGGGTGTTAAAAACTAAATAAGTTTGAACCCCACTACAGCGAACGCCGCTTCAACGGAATTTCCGCTACAATGAAAAATTCACGGTTCCCCATCAGCAGTCCATAGGAGTCAATGCATAAATAAATATTGTTGCCACAACGAATGCTTTTTGTTCTGCCGCCCCGCTTCAACGAAATTTAATGATGCAATTCCAGGCTCAGATATTTATTGCTACACAGGAAATCAATCTTTAGCACTTTGATGCATATTGAGAACCTAAAAATACGTCGATGAAGTCTAAAACACGCGTTGGCACCACCAGAAACCACTGCTGTTCAGCAAGCATGGGCGCCGCCATTGCTGATGAATGGTCTGATGAATGCATTGCCTGGTGGCAAGGAATGAAAAAACTTATGATACAAGCACAAGCGTGAAATTTTACGGTGAGAGGCAAGATGAGGAAGATTAAGCTGGTGTTTGAACACCCGACTTTTAGAACACAAGCGATCATTAGGAACTGGCATTCATTCTCACATAAAGAGACACTGTTCCCAGTGTGGCTGCTCACCACTGTACAGTGACACAACCGTAGTCTTCCGTCATGGAAACCAACTAACCAGAGAGATTGTCGAAGCCTTTCACATTAAAAAAAGAAAGGAAGGATGCATTAGTCAGTCATCGGTTTCGTTAAGTAACCGAGAAGCCAGCTACCTCGAAGGACTTAATTGAGATCAGTGTTCGCATGTGTCATACTCTCCTTTTTGTCGTTTCAAAATTTTGTTTCAAACACGTGTGAATTCCCGCAAAATTTTTTGGTTTTTTGATTTGATGTTACCCAGGGCTGTTTTAGTTATGTCATTTTAAGTGTCTAAGCGTAACTGCCGTGTACTGTCGCTTGAGTCTGCGCAAAAGCTTCTGTTGGCAATGATTCAGTGTTCGTAGTTCTTTTCTGTGTCGCTAGGGTTATGGGTTATATATGAAGTGCTGCTTCTGAAATAAAAATTAGTTGCGAGTGTAGCGAGTGTCGTGTTTTCTTGTCCTCTTCGTCCCCGTAAATTTGCGCTACTACACCATATGGTTAAATGACCACTTGCATAACTATATGAGGTTTCATTTGTTTGTTTATTTGTACCTCAAGGGTCCCGAGGGACACTACATGAGGGGTGGGCAAAAAAACATAACAGATGAAACAAAAAAAAAGGAGCAAAGTGGCACAAACAATAACAAAATATAGAAAAACAGCAGTAGATCATATATGGCATGAATGGCTGGATAAAAGGTGCCTTTTTACGGCGTTTTTAAATTGATCGAACTGAAATGACATGGCGATGTGGGCGGGAAGGTCGTTCCAGTCGTGTGCTGTCTGAAAGAAAAATGACCTCTGAAAGGTCTTTGTTTTTGGGCGTATGGGATATACTGCATTGGGGTGATAATGCCGTGATGTCCGATGTGCAGGTCTGATGAATGCATTGCCTGGTGGCAAGGAATGAAAAAACTTATGATACAAGCACAAGCGTGAAATTTTACGGTGAGAGGCAAGATGAGGAAGATTAAGCTGGTGTTTGACTGCTGACACACTTGTGTTATTTGAGCAATTTGAGAGAATAAATCTGGAAGCATGGTTCTGAATGGATTCGAGCATAGTGAAAAGGTCAGCTTGATGAGGATCAGAAATGGCAATAGCACACTCCAGTTTAGGCCTGATGAGTGTTTTATAAGCTATTAGTTTAGTAGCAGCAGGTGCCGAAGCAAGGTTACGACGTAGGTATCCAAGAACTCGATTAGCTGAGTTAGTGATGCTAATGATGTGTAAGGTTCCATAACGTGTGCTTCGTTTGTAGTGTTAGATTTCATTAGTGTTGTGATGTAGCAGACGCTTTAAAGAACGAAGGAACGAAAAACATTGTGGAAGGCTGAGACGAACGTCTGAACTCCTTATGATTGCCATGTTGGTCTACGGCTGTCAGTGTTTCTCTGCACATGACAACACTATTGAACTCCGTATAAGTTTTTCATAAGATTTGAGCATTAAGAGGAGTCCTCGCCAGGATTCATCAGGCGCGATAGTGTAGCCAGAATTTCTCTCAGGTGTGCGGGAGGAGGGGTGGGGGGGTCAGGTATGTTTACGGTTGCATTAGGTTGTCTGGGTGTATATGTAATCATGACAAGTTGAGAAACTTTGAGGGGCAGTTTGATCAGGTTTGCAAAGTTCAGTCTGTTTGGGATGAAAGAACCCCTATAACTGTGATTTATGATCAAAATTTTTGCAGTAGTAGTTGCACAGCAGTGAATAAACACTCAAAAGTAAAATGAAAAGCATCACCGATAGCCAAGATGCCACAGCATATGTATTTGTAACATATAAGTGTAGGTGTGAGTGCAGAGTTTTATGAAACTTAGTCTGAAAAGTTGTTGTATTAGATAAATAAATCTAGGAAAACCTAAAGAACTTTGTCATTTATGTAATAGTCACAAATAAACACTACTGTATTTACTATATCAATTCGGTGTTAAAATAATGTTCTGTATAGTGGATCATGCAAATTTTGTATGATCAAATGTATACTTGCCCGTAAGAGGAGTGATAGATGCAAGAAATGAGCTCACTTCGAACAATCTATACAAAAACAAAAGCATACAATTTGTATAAAAAAAACAAAATATAAGGGCTCGTCCGGGATTTGAACCCGGGACCTCTCGCACCCGAAGCGAGAATCATACCCCTAAACCAACGAGCCAATGTATGATTGACATCTTTGAACAATTGCGGTCACTGCAGCAAGGTTATACCAATGCCTTTACTGTGTTTTCGAAACATTTTAAGCGTTAGACAACGAAGTTTTCAATACAACGAATTCTGTGACTACTGCAAAGTATCATCTGGATTCCGAATGGCTGTCTGGGAAACGACCACATTGCGCATTCAACGCGTGTAATATATACGTATCTGCGCTAAATATAGAACTCGTGATACAATTGCAAAAATAAAAATGTTGATGAGCGGTGCTGACTTGTTTCCCTGCAACTGCGACGTTCACAGTCGTAGCAGAGAGCGCGGGGCGTTTCACGTCATGCCGAGATGTCTCAATGGCAATTAATGATTCAAGTTAGCTTATGTATATGCCTGTCCGCTCGTCTTTGCAAACTTGCTCCCCCGCCTTTGGAGTCCGTGAGTGGGACTAATAGTTTAGTTGCACACCCGCTTTGGTCGTCTGCGCGAGACCTCTGCGGACTTCTGAAGTTTATTGCACTCGACTATAGTTTCGTTTTTACTCGTGCACATGCGTTGACAGTGGCTGCAGCTTCATTTGCCGCAGTTAAACGATTAACAGTAGTGTCGTTTTTGCCACATGCTAACAGAGCTGCATAGTCGCCATCCATGATTGTGCATCAGTGAGATATTTATTGTTGTTCTCGGCTATATATATGTATATATATATATATTGTAAGATGGCGTCGAGTACACTCAAGACTCTCCTTTATTGACCCGAGTATGAGCCCCACAACCTAAACTTGACTGGTGATGATGAGTATGTACAGATGAAAAGATGGGACGCATAAATAATGCTCACACTTATTTTCCCCGCGCACTTGAGCGGCTGGCCTGGCCGAGACTTAGGCGGGAAAGGTACGGCGCACAAAGGGTTTAAGACGTGAAACGTGGACTATCTCGGAGGCACGGTAACGACGGTCCGAGGAACCCTCGACGGGAGTGACAAGGTAATTGACAGGAGATGTTCGTTCACAAACAATGTAAGGTCCTAGAAAGCGAGACTGAAACTTTTCACACAATCCGGGTGTGCGAACAGGCGTCCAAAGTAGTACTTCATCTCCAGGACGGAAGGTGACGTCTCGACGAAAGCTGTCATAGCGTTGCTTGCGGTCTTGTTAACTGGCCGCCGTGTTGAGTTGAGCACGTTGCCGGGCCTCAGCAAGCCTGGAGACGAAATGTTCTGGCGTAGTCGTCGACGTTTTTGTCATTGCATTGAAGAAAGAGGCGTCAATGGTGAATGTCGGCGCACGACCATAGACGAGGAAGAAAGGTGAATACCCGGTGGTTCGTTGAACAGCGGTGTTGTGTGCAAATGTTACGAACGGCAAGATATTGTCCCAATTATCGTGGTTCGGTCCGGTGTACATGGATATCATGTCGATTAGAGTCCGGTGGAATCGCTCTGTCAGCCCATTTGTCTGCGGGTGGTAAGCAGATGTGGTCTTATGAACTGTGCCACAAGTTTTTAGAATTTCGTCCAGAATTGTCGATATGAAGGCCTTTCCCCGGTCACTCAACAACGTGCGAGGTGCACCATGACGCAACACAATGGCTTCTAAAAAGAAGGCGGCAACGTCTGAGGCGGAGCTAGTGCGTAGAGGAGTGGTCTCCACGTATCGTGTGAGGTGGTCGACGGCTGTGACAATCCAGCGGTGGCCCGCTGGCGTTGCGGGAAGTGGCCCGACGAGGTCTATTCCGACAACGGCAAAAGGTGTGTCGGGACATGGAATGGGTTGTAATAAGCCAGCAGGAGCTGAAGTTGGTCGTTTCCGGCGTTGACAAAGTGCGCAAGAAGCGATATAATTAGCCACAAAGGTAGAAAGACCAGGCCAGAAGAAACGGCTCCTAACGCGGTTGTAGGTCTTTTGAAATCCCAAGTGTCCAGCTGATGGTTCGTCGTGCAATGCTTCGAGAACTTGTTTTCGCAGTGAACGGGGAAGTACTGGCACCCACCGATGCCCATCCGCATTGTAAGTATAGTGCTGCAGGACATTGTTCTCTAGCTTGAACAGCCGTAGCTGACGACGTAGTCTGGCATTAGGTGGAGAAGGCGAGCCATTCAAGTATCCGATGATGCGGTTACAGTAGGGGTCGTCACGTTGGTACGCGGCAAACTGGGCGCTGTTGTTTAATGGTAGCGACCCAGCAACTGCCAGGGGTGATAACGTGAGTGAAG